TAGCGAAGAGTACCGGTAATTTGAAGTAAACCAGCGAGCGGGACTTAAAAATTTCACTCCCATACTGTCACGCCTTAATTATAAAACAATTCACAATTAATAAGTATAAGGATTTATGGAAGAAAAAAAGTCAATTAGGGTTAGTAAATCAGTATTTATTGAGCTTATTTGATATTATACCAATTTCGTAAAGTTTCATGAGTTAAATAACAACTTTGAAATTACAGAAGTAATAAACAGACACCTTGCAAATTGCAACTTAGTATTTGCTTGTGAATATGCCAAATTAATACATATGGGAATACTACATTTAATATAACAAGCTTTATGAATAAACAATAACAGAATTGAAAGAAACCAAATGAAAATTACTACACACATTGTGCAGGTAAAGAAATAGTTATTATACAAGGTGGTAAAAGTGCCTTTTATTTTTGGATTCTGATTAGGTCACATGAACGTATTGTGTTTTCTTTGTATGCGTTAAAGTTTTTCAGAACATTTGAGCATTGTCCGCTTTAAGCAGTAGTGCAAAAAATTGAGCTTTTAGGCATGTCTGATGCCTTGAAAGAAACCGCTTTTACTAGTTGCAACTACAAATGTTTTTCATTAGTCAATAATATTTGAATATTTATTTTACCCATGTGCTAATCTCACACATTCACAGGTCAGAGGCTGCTTTTTTAAAATGGGAGTCCACTGTGAAAGTTACATTCACCTTCAAAACAGATGATTAACAAACAGTGAATTTCCATCAATGCTTATGCAATACAATTGAATAATAATCGGGAAAGTGGAGTTGTCAAAGTCAACATTTGATTGCGCACCAGAGCCAAGCCTGGACCTTCTGATAACTGGGCAATGTCTAATAACTGAGCTATAGAATCAAGACATTGCAATTTTGACTCACACAAATTCACAATCTAATAAAGGATCAGCATTCAAATCCAGAATGTAGGGGCAGGACGTGAACAAAAACAATGATACACACATTACTAGAATATAAATTGAATCAAGATTGTGTTTGTCATGAGAAACTATTTTGTCAGAACAGTAAAAATACATAAGCAACTTATATAAATATTAAAAAAAAAATTATACGAATAAGAAGAAACAAATGCAGATAGATAATAGCCATTAAATAAATTCTAAAATTCAGAAAATAGCCTCTGAACCAATGTAACTCAAAACCTTGTATTCATTAATATTCAAATAAAGTCTTAAAATAGCAAGAGGCATTCCAAAATTCAGAAAAGTGATCTGCTTTACAGAAATTAATTTTATCTTTAAATATCTTATTTAATTAAACTTTCCAAATCAGATGTGGAAATACAGTTTATATAATGTACCCAATGACAGAATTTACCACTTGATTTAAAAATTCTTGTTGTTCAATACCTTTATAAACTTTCAGCGATGAAAGAATATGTTCAGAGAAACTTTTGTGCACAAATGAAAGCAAGTTATTCACTGCATATAACAATTAATTCTTTGAAATTATCTCTCTGAGTTCTATTCCTCAAAGTGAACATTAATTAAAGCATTAGGGTCAACTCGTGGGTCTAATATGATGCTTTCGAAGCCATATCTGAGAGGATCTGAAAAAGCAAAAAATGATGTAGAAAGATACTATGTCCTCAATGAATGTTTCTTGAAAAAAACCTGTATCAAAAAGAAGATGTTCTTTAATTTCACATTCTAAATTCCGAAATTAGAAGCCAGGAATATGTGCACTTAACCACACACCGAAGGCACAGAATTTCTCCAGAATGGCTTCTGTCACCGCCCCAAGTATCTGTAATCACCAAAAAAAGAAGTTTTTTAATTTACTATAATTTGCCCTCAATTGGCACTAATAACTGATATATTGAAAGGAACATACCATGAAAACGTCCATAAAAACTTGAGGTGGACCACCTCACATGGGTTGAAAAAGATCTGAGAAATGGAGACAAACTAGAAATCATTCCCATCTTCAAGAAAATGCAACAAAGTATAATTAAGATTCTTAAAGTTATAGCAAATATTTACCTTTACAAGGCTTAGAATAGCATCTGCTGCACTTGCTGTAGCAGGCATGTTCAACAGCACTAGAACCTGTAATAATCAAAACAAAATTATTGCCAATACATTATGCTTTCAATAGCATGCTTCTTTTTGCATTTTACAAACATACAAGAGACTTACCATTTTCAGTTGAAAAGGCTGCCTGTGTACAAGGATCTGAATTTAAAATGCTTGGTATCATAGCCTCCCATCAAACTATAATTGTACATTAAAAACTATAAATATATTATATTAAAACTTATATCTAGTAATATTCTATTAAAAAAAGGTCTTACCAATTACACCCTCCCATAGCTTGCAGTGGGTGTCATCTCCCTTGGTCCAACAAGGATCTGCAACCTGACATGAACATTAAAAAAATCCACTATTGGTTTACGCATCCCATCATCTTCTCGAAGCCAAATGCACGCTTCAGACTTCAAACAGCAGTAAATCCACTTCATTTTCTCTTGAAATTTCACTGACTGCAGATATGGCGTTAACAGCCCTACGAACAGCACTGAATATACAACCATAGGTCGACGAGGAAGAAAGCAACGGTAACGAATCGGTCGTATAATGCGATTAATTACAAATGAAAAACTAGTTCACGATTCTCCGCTAGCGGATGTTGGTGTTGTACAGAAGATTATGTGTATATGGCGTCGCTCTGAACTCTGATTGGCTACAGTATGGAATTTGAATAAGGTCTGATAAGGACCGGATGTGCTCTATCTAGTGCCTTGCTCTGCTTTGTTCCGAATTCCCGCCGGTATTTGTGAATTGTAGGGTATTGTGTGTAGATGTTTTCGGTTGTGTTTTCTAAAGTTTGGAGTCCAAACTATTATTCCATGATGAAACACTTCCATGGTATATGGACACGTTCGGTTTCTTCTCGCAATTTTTATTGCATGTCGTGCATGGCTGTGTGAGACATGTTGTATGACATAATGTGATGGGCTGGAAGTATGCACGCATTGCTGTTGTCGACTGTATACATGCCTCATCGTTTATTTCGCCGTAACAGCAATGAAGATAGAGAACATGGTGAAATAGGACTTCTATTGCAGCAGACAAGTATGGCTCAATGATTATTTGGATGTGCAGGTGAATTTTCCAGTCCCGGTTTTCCTAAGAATTATTGATATGTTGATTGTGATGTTCAATAGTAATTACAATTGCACTTTATTACTACTGCCCTATGTATTTATCAACGTAGGCTATATTACAATAATTTTAGGAGTATGTGTGCCAAAGTACTTGCATTGTTATCAAGATAAAAGTGTTTAAAAAAATCATATGCGTGTGAACTTTTAGGATATGGACCAGTTCAAAATCATAATGTATGGTTTGAAGTTACTTGTCTGAGGATGCTGACATATGAGGGAAATTGTTTAAATGAAAGTAAAATATTTTTATATTTTCACAATATGCAGTTAAAAAATTACAGGCTTTCAAATGTTGTTTATTAAAAAGCAGTCTGAAACGTGTAAAAATGTAGAATGCCAGTATTATCTGTATTATGTGGTAGAACTATGACTAATAAAAGGATTGGTAGGAGCTGTGTTTCGGAAAAAAACAAATGTTTTTGTGAAGATTGTATATTTTTGTTCTACACAAATGTTGAAACGGTTATTTTTATTAACTGTGCATTCAAAGTTATCTTATTAGTTTGTGTCCTAATACTTTATAAAGTGGACTGTCTGTGGTAAATAATAAAACAAAAATATTTTGTTTGAAATTGAGGACTATTTGTTTGAACTAACAAGAAGACAACTGGTGATGTGTGACCCGTTTTCTGTGAATAGCTGATACTCTGATACATTTAATTGATGATTATCATTAACTTAATGGTTAGGCTTAGTGGCATGTTCCCTTAATCTATTGACCCTGCTGGGTTGTTTCTGGTTCTCCTATCTTTTCCTAGGCCTGCCAGATTCTCTTTTTTCTTTTGTTCTGTGTTTTGGGAATGTGGTTTTCATTTGAATTGGAGCACACAAAAAGGTTTGATGTCACATTTTCAGGTTTTGAGTTAATGGCAGGAAACTAATTTTAAGACATAAATACTACTCTCCATGCACAAAAGTTCACTGTCTGTGTCCTTCAACTGTTAATGTTGAGAAAAAAATGTTTCTTGTGTGGGACTTGAAACTTTTGATTCCTCTTCAAAATTTGAAGCTGCTGGACATCGTATGTTTTTGTTTTCTCTGATTCATTTGTTGCATGATCTTTTGCCATTTCCTTTGGTATCTTTCTGTTTCATTTATCATGTTGTTGATTTTCAGACTAATTCTTATCTTTATTTCTTACACCGGGTTGGATTTACCATGTTATGGATTTTTTTTTTTTTTTTTTTTTTTTTTTTTTTTTTTTTTTTTTGTATGTTTCGAAATTTACTTCTTATTCCATTGATTTTATTGCATCTTGCCAATTTTACATCTAGTTCTTCTTCCTGTAAAGTTGTATTTTTTGATAGCTGATGATTTCTTAAAGCTATAATAAAATATTCAAGTTTATATACCTTGTTAGATTGTGATCAGATAAGTCAGGTTTTTTTAGTCCATACATTTCCATCTAAAGTTACAAAACTCCACATTTCTGTTCGATGAAAAAGAATGGCTCAGATTTTAAATTTTAATTGATTGATTTAAATGATGGTAGTTTTTAAATCTTATTAAAACTCCTATTTTTTTACCCTTCCTTCATAAATGTTTTAATAAACGAAATAAAATTTGACTCTTCATTAGAGACCATTATGGCACAGTTGTTTCTTGAATTGTGGAAAGTAATTGTTGAAAGAACTCTTGTATTTGTACTTTCAATAAATTTCCATGGGTTTATTTTCAATGATTTCAGATTTCTTTAACTTATTCTACACATGACAAACGGTGAAAAGTAACATAAAAATAACACTGGTCTACGTGGGAATATTTTTTTTTCTGAACCCAAATGTTTGAACTGATTTTATATAATTTGAGATCGCTGGTTACAAATATGCTGTCAGAAATTGCTTATCACGTCACAATTTTCAACACATAGTTAAAAAATTTATAATTTTCATGCATTATAGCAGGATCCTACTAAGTAGCACTTGTATTTCTTTATGCAAGAAAGGAAAATAGTGGTTTATAAATAGTTTCAATAGTGTTGTGTTAGTCTGGACTTATAAATAAATTGCAAAAACTACAAACTTAAAAAATATTATCAAGATGAAGAAACTGTGCTTCTTTAATTTTTTGAAATAGATGGAATTGGGAATGTAATGCAGCAGACACCAACAGTAATCTGCTGTCATATTTGTGTTCCATTTACCTTTGATTGTTTTTATATTTATATCTTGTTGGAAACACTTACTCTGCTCTTCACTCACAGTACCAAGATTTGAGGGAAATACATTTCAAGTGGCTGAGTAGATAATGCATCTCGACACTCATTTTTGCTTCCTTCCTCTGATATGCTATCAACAAAGTTTCAACTAAAACATTGTAGTGGTCTGCCATTTTGTTGCTAAGATAGTTTCTTGCAACATTACAAAAAGCACACAAAATATCTTTCTCCAAGATGCTCATTATTTCCAAAAATTCTTTGTTTTTCAACATAAGCCTTATTTGAGGGCCATCAAAACTTGATACCTTCACAAACTGCTTCATAAGGTCTATATGCAGTGGCGGTAATATAATTTTATTGTGACCAAGAAGAAGTTCATGGTTTATATTCTTGTCGCCAATTTGAATTGTGTCTCTTAATGGCTGTTCTTTTCTTATCCAGTGTTCTTCCTTTGCACGGTTGTCCCAAAGGGACATCTAACATGGATATTGTGCGTACCCATCTTGTTGACCTAGGAGTATTGATATTACCTTTAGGTCGCACAAACAGTCCAGCTGTGATCTGAGTATTTTATTTTATGGAAAAGTATTCTCATTGTTTCCTTCATTTTCTCTGTGTAATCAATAGAAAATGATGTTACCATTATTGAACAACACCCTAAACTTCTCTTCGAACTGTCAATGAACAACCTCGACTCCTCTGCAAAGTACTTGCATCCCATAGCTTCAATGAGATGTTTGACATTGATGCAGTATATAAGTTCTTCATCCACCAGATTCTTCTCTGTGTCAATATATGATGTGGTTCCGGGAGCTATTCCTCTCCTTTAGTTTGGAATCCAGTAATTATAATGATATTTAGGCAGATCAATGGACGAGGTTGTTTAATTCACCTTGAGTGAATGGCACTGAAAGTGTTTATCAGAAACTTCAAAGTCATCGCCACTACGTAGTTTTGACAGGATGTTTGATTTGTAACTGGTACTGGAACTGAAAGTCGAAAATGTTTGGAAAATAGGGATAGAAGCATCATCACCATTTGGTATGGGTCTTATAGCTGACGGTAAGATGTTAGGATACTGAATGGAATGTTTAGACTTCTTGTTAAAGTTTGTCACATCAATAATACAAAATTTGCAGTCTTGCACATGATCCTTCTGATTCCGCATGCCTTTTGAACTCCAAAACCTAAGCTTTTGCTTTGCCTCTTAGTCCGTAGGTTTTCTACACATGGTCGACAAACTACGTGTGGTGACCAGTATTTGTTCTTGTTACTCAGTTTAACTCCAAAATATGCATAATAAGCTTTGGATGCAAAGTGCTTTGTTTTGGAGTTGTAAATTTGCCACAAATGTAGGAAAAAGTAAGTCTGGCTCAGTTTTACAGTTTTGCAGCCATTTTTCATCTCTAACCATAACAAACAAAAAATCATTACATTAATAGTTTTAAAACAACACAGAATTATTTATAACATTTCTCTTTTCTGAATGCTTACATGCTTGTGTAAAATAATGTTGAATGATCAGTCGAAAGCAACACTAATAAATACAAGCGCCTGCAACAGTGGGAAATATATGAAATCATCATTTATGAAAATCTTGACGTGATGAGGAAAAATAGATATGATTTCTGGATTCAGAATCTTCAAATTAACAATGATCAGTTGTTAGCTTATATCAGCAGAAATGATGCAGACCAGTGTTATTGCTAATAGTTTCCAAAACTTGGTCCAAAATACAGAAACGTTCAAGTATGCATAATAAAATTTAGCAGGAAAGCTGTAAATGGGTTTATTTATAAAGAAATTCGATCATTTTTCAAGTTACATTTAGCCTAAAATGTGCACTGGCATGTATTATTAATTAAGATTCGATGAGTATCTACAGGATAGGTTATTGACTTCCATTTAACTTGCAGTTTGTTAATGCATGATTAATAACCTTCAATGTGTGAAGTAATGTAAGACAATTTTTTTTCTTCGCAGTGTTATTTTCGTTATTTTGGATCCAATACATTCCCAGCAATGT